ATCCCACCGAGAGAAATAGACGTATTTACTCGAGGTTAATTATAAATCCAGAGAAGGCGTACGCAAGATTCGAACCCTGCATCGTGAGCGTATAAACCCAACTTAAAGGTCACCAATTGTCATTCGCGGATTTATCGAAGTAGAGGTAATCAAGGACCTCGTTGGAAAAAGACTAAATCCCAAGGTCAATATTCGTTCCGCTCTCCCCCGAGTATTGGCTCGACATGGAGAATTCAGTATGTAGTATCCTACGGTTGAATTCTATATTTACAAGTATAAAACCCGTTATAAGAAAGTCGTCGGGTCAGGCCAAATGCCGAAAATCTCTTATAAGAGAGTCATTAGTTAAATCGGGTCCAGCAAAAATCTTTCCTGTGGCCATATTTCTTACAGTACATCGAAGGTTTCTTATAATGAGTTTTAATTGCTAACTTACAAGAAAGCTATATTGATAAATAAATAAATATTTATCGTTATTGCACTAATTTTCATCTATACAACAGTGATAATGTAGAGAAAGACGAGGAAGATTCGCTGAAAAAATCAGTAATTCAAGTACAATGCAGCAATCCCATTACGAAATAAATACTTTGTATTGTGTATATTCCCATACAGTGCAACGCGGCACATAAATAATTTTATGAATTACACTTAAATAACATTTTCTTGTACAAAACATAGTCATATTTTTACTAACCATATAACCACTTTCCCCTCCTCCCCTCCACTACCATAATCTAACATTCATTCGATCTCATCTTACAAAGGCACTCCTTCAAGGAAAGCCTTATTTCCCTCTCTCGTTAGCACAACATGCACATTTCCTAGAATCCTGTTCACAAAGCCACCCTCACAATACGCAAAGTAAAACTCCCATTTGCGTTTAAAGATATCAACATCCCTCTGTTTCATTTCTGGGTGTTCTTTAACTAAAGTAGGTCCAATGCTCTCATCGAATACAGAAAGAAATTGTTCACGCCAAAGGCGCAGAGTACGCGCATAATGTGGACCAATGTTGTCAATTGACTCGACGATTAATCGGCCACGAGAACCTTTGTGAATTGCTTGGACTAAAGATGTTACGGTTGGACAATGGCCGCCTAGAATATGAAAATCCAGGAAGGGTGGGGGCTGTTAGGATCACATTATCCTTTTATATACTTGCCATTTTATTAGTTTGCATCTCACTTACCAGGAAAAATATATTTCCTTATGAAATCGACTTCTTTACAATATCTATCATATCTTGTCTCGGGCATAGTAATAACCTGAAACACTGCAATTCCATCCTGCTCTTTTAAGAGTTTGTCGCAGCATTCAAAATAGGTCGCCAGATATTCCGGTCCTACTGCTTCGATCATTTCGATACTGACAATCTTGTCGAATTGATGTGCAGCTGGGAGATTTCGATAGTCGCAGAGAAGCACGACGATGCGGTCGGATAGACCTGCAGCAAATATACGTTCTTCGGCAAGGCGTTTCTGCTCGACCGACAAGGTTAGAGTTGTCACCTTACATCCCGTGGATTTTACTGCCTAGGAAAAAGATCAGAAACGATAATCGAGTTTGTTATAATTAGGTTGTGACACACGTTTAGTAACTTAATTCCAAACACATAATAAGTAACGCTACTTTTCCCTCCTATGCACTCCTTTATGCTAACACTTTCATTGCAAATTACCTCGATAGCGAAACTTCCCCACCCGCTTCCAATCTCCAACACGTGATCCTCACTTCCAATCTTTGCCTTCTTGATCACTTCTCTCAACTTTCTCATTTGCGCTTTCTCCAACGGTTCATCCATGCTGCCAAATAAAGCACACGAGTACGTCATGTCAGTGCTTAAAAACGCAGCAAACATATCATTTGAAATATCATAATGTGCAGATATGTTGTTTATTGCGTTCGTGACTGTGTTTGCAAATCGAGTGTTCATGAAATAGTTGATCGTGTTGAAAAGATATGACGGAATGGTGGACATGTCATCGACGTGATTACGGTTTGCTGCAAAAACCTAGAAAAGAGGGATTAGAAAAGAGAGAGAGGGAAAAGTAGGATTAGGGTGGAGAGCTTTATAAATTTCACGATTTAAATTTTCCGAATGTTAGACTTACGTTTATTAATGATCCTAAATCATCACAGACTACGTCACCGAGCATATATGCTTCCGCGAATCCCTGCATGGAATGCAAACAAAAAATTAGCATACGGTTCTTTATACATTGTTAAGTTTACAGTTTGTTGTTAGAATTAACTTTTTTCCTTTATCGTTTTCCAATTTTAATTCACGTGACTAATATCCGTACGACTTTCCCAAAACGAGCATGTGGCACGTGCTTGAATAGTCTATATAGTAATAGTAATGCATTCGTCTTTACTCACCAAATCTGCAAAGAACAATAACCTCACCCAAAATGATTCGCTTAAGACTTTGAATTTTGCTTTTAATTGAGAGTCTCGCGGACCGAATTCGTAGACACGTTCTTCTGTCCATACTTCCAAATGACCAACGTTGATCTTAGCCATTATTGAGAGTGTTGTATTCTGAGCTAGTAATCGAAATGGATGAGGACATACTCGATAAAAAAGACAGCTCTTATGGATGAATAATTGAATTACATTTGCGTATTAAATGTCCCCCTCCCACTCCCTATCCATTGCTCTATCAGCTATCATATTGATTGATTAATTGGCCTTGTTGACTCTGCTCTACTTGCAATTTTGGTTCAACACTTTTTTTCTTACCGAAATGAAGAAACGTTGGCCATGACTTTGTAATCAATGCTTCCTTGTAGTATTGATAATACGAGTCGAATTTAGCAAGGGCTCTAAGTCTTGAGCCAGAGAACTTTTTCTTGATCGGAGAGTCGGTCATCTTTGTATTTTTCGTCTCGCAATGCTCGAAATGCTTTCTTGATAGCAAAAGACGCCCATTGCAGGGCGCAACTCTATCTTATATCCAATTCAGAGATGATTACTAATATAGGCTCTATTCAATTCTTGAATTGTTTTAGCAAGCACTAAGAAGTTTGTAAATATGCACCGGCGTATCACCAATGCTGACAATGAGTTTTGAAACTTTGGCAATACCTATAGCAATATGTATTTAATTCATTTGATATTGATTTTTCGACGCAGTGAAACAATGGAATGAGATTGCACTGATATCGACGATCGGAAATATATGGATGGATGGGGTAGGTGGAAAAGAATGGGGGAGCAGGGGTGTATCAATAAGGCTAGTGATACGGTCCATTTAATTAGGATACACAATGCAAATTTGTTTATCAAGTGTGTCGTGGCACATGTAGAAAAAGATAAACATCTACTGTGTGACAACTTTTAATTGGGCCCTTCGCTGGTTTCTCAGTAACAGGTTAACATTTCGTCATATTTTGCAGATTTTAGATGACACAAAGAAGCTAATCTTTGCCGACGCAAAACCGGGAAATCTCAAGTCTTAATATTTTCACATGGTATACCGACAAGGGCTTAGTCTCAACACAGCCCATCAATTGACAGTATATGCGTGTGCCATGTGACTTTAATGAATTCAGTAAGCCACAAAGGGCCATCAATCATGTTTTCAACATAAACACTTCATCATTCTCTTGCTATCCTGAACTAAGGGAGTAAGCAATGACAAAAGTTTTCAGCTTTTTAATTAATATATTGGAGAATATGCAGGAGAAATGACTCTTGATCGGCAACATTTAGAGACTGAAGCATTCCAATTATTCCTTTAAATTAACCATTATAATATTACACAGCAACATGAGGTGATTATTGGCAGGTTACTGAAATAGATTATTAAATAATGTGACGAAACTCGTTGTTACAGAAAATACTCTAGAGAACGTTCTCAACAGTAGGATTTTTCAGGTAGACAAGATGTATTACGCTAATTGTACGAGTCACGAGTAAATAGGCTTTGCGTACTCCAAATTCTCTGGAAAACTATAGACAGTCTAATGATTGTCTAACTGCTCCAAATAATATGTATTAGTATGGTAAAATGCAAGAGCAAGTCTTGACTGTCTCACTTCTTACGAACAAATTTGTTGCTGATTCTAAATTCACACTAACATACTAATACTAAGTCATGACTATCAGGTTATCACTACGCTAGATATTGGACCTAAATTTATGATTACAAAAGATATATATTCGTATTGTATTGATACGTAGAGGTCTTGTCCACTGGAAACAATCGCTTCTAGTAGCGAATTTTAATTTGTATCTCTACACGCCAATTATACTTACGCTGTGTCGAGAATAAAGTACCAACTCTACTGTATAAGCTCATATATAGTAATAACCTCAACAAAGAACGCGAAAACATTGTACGGTAATGTGTCTTTTACGCACCAATAATAATTAATTCAATAACTTCAATCGGATAAGATCTCATTTAAATATATTTTCTCTGCAGACGGGCGAGTAATTATATCGTATTTTATGAAATGACAGATTTTACATTAGAGGCACTTGATACCAAATTCTACACGGACGATGGTCACTTTTATATTTAAAGTTCGGACCACAGTAGCAATGCCGGAATGCAATTTAATTGGATAATTGACTAAAATATACAAATATAAATAGTAGAAACTAAACTAAAAAACACGTAATAAAAATTCTTCTTATTTACACTTCATAGCCGGCGCGGAACACGTTGCTTAAAGTTAAGCAATAACAAATAATAGAGAACGAAATATCATTAAACACAAAGCTACAAAGTAGAGTCTACGGTCTTGCAATAATTTTAAGTCTTTCTTTTAAAAAATTCCACAGACTACCAAATTGAATTTACTTTGTCAGTTCGCAAAGATATTTGCAAAATTTGACATTTGAAAGAAGAATATCGTCTTTCTCCTACTGCCGATAACCGAGAGAAACAGAGTCTATTAATATTACCACCGGTAAGTATGTTGATATAAAACACAACTGCGTAAAGCACATCGTAGAGGTGTTGAGAACCGTGCTTTGTACTTTGTGCTTTGTGCCTGATATTGATAATATAGAGCAAAGCGATTTATTTATTCTTTCCGAATAGTTTTCGTGTCATTAAAACGCAAGTATGATTCTATTATCATTACATTAAAATGATATAATAATAAGTATTTCATATTCAGGCAATTGCTGTACTATTTATGCTGTTACACAAACGGGCAATTGAGAAAACCTCTTCCTGACTTGTGGAGGAGTCAATTTTAGATATGAATTCATTGGGGACCATCAGAACAGGTGTTTACAGGACAAATTAGTTTGCAGAGATAAGACATTAGGATTATAAACTCATTGAGTCTTTCTTCAGCGCTGAATCACAAGACATTTAGGACAGTGTACACGATCTCTGTTGTTCCGGTTGTTCAGAAGGTACGCTTGATAATAATAGTTGATCGATGTCGACGAGAATTACTTTATAACCGAGGTTGTATTCCAGAGAAAAGCTCATGACTTAATCATAAGAAAGACAACTGGAAAACCTATCATTAAGTATGGCTCTGGAGGCCGGTAAGTTGCCACAGCAGATCGCGATCTTGTTCTTTTTTTACCAGGCAATATTAACATTTTGTTGACAATTCTTAGTTCTTCAGTAAGTGGTCACATAGCGACTGTTTTTGGTGCGACTGGCTTCCTTGGTCGCTACCTTGTTAGTAAGCTAGGTAGGAACAAAAAACAAATTGCAATGGATATACTTCTAACGGCGTGCATTCCGTCTCCGCTCATCACATTCTCGTACAATCATTACGTAGCCAAACATGGAACCCAAGTTGTGATTCCCTATAGAGATGAAGATGCCAAACGATTCCTTAAGGTTACTGGAGATTTAGGGCAGATAGTACCATTGGTACGTTATGTCTCTAGAATAGCAGTACGCTGAATCATTGTTTTGGCAAGCCTCTTTCTAAACAAATGAAAACTTTTATTGATTTCTTTCTGACGGATAAAAGGAGTTTGACGCAAGAAATGAACAAAATATCATTGAAGCAGTCCGACACTCTGACATTGTGTATAATCTTATCGGAAGAGCTTACGAGACAAAGTAATTTGCTTCTTTGGATTGAACCGTGCCCGAAAAACGACATTGGTGCGAAATAATTTGACAAATATTTGCAATTTCTCTTTCCTAGGAATTTCAAGTATTCTCAAATACATGTAGATGTAGCAGGTCGTATTGCAGCAATTTGTCGCGAACAAGGTGTTTCGCGATTTGTTCATGTGTCGGCTCTCAATGCCGATGTTAATTCACCTTCAGAATTTTTGAAAACCAAGGTGACCACTTTAGTAACGGAGCAGATACGTGCAAATTAGCATACTCGTGCTGACGAGATTCAATGGTTGTTATCACTTATAGGCATTGGGTGAGAAAGCGGTAAAAGCAGCATTTCCAGACGCTACTATTGTGCGACCGGGATGGTTGTATGGAGTTGAAGACAAATTCTTGAATAGAATGGGAAGTACGTAATAAAAAAAGTCTAACTATTTTCATGTATAATTACTTCAAGAAGCTGACATTCTTTTTTTTTTTTTTTGTTACCTTAGTGACGGAAGGATATCAATTCTTAATCAATCACGGTCAAGCCCATGTGCGACCCGTTCACGTTAGTAAGGCTTTCCTTTGGGACTTTAAACGTCAATGGCTTATTCTAAAGCAATTTATGACACAATTCGTAGGTTGAAGATGTTGCGCAAGCTCTTGAAAAGATGGAAGGTGATGAATCTACGGTTGGCCAGACGTACGACTTATTTGGCCCACAGGAATATACATTCGGGGAAGTTCACGATATCGTGAATTCTTTAACTAAACGTCGGACAGTCAGAATCCACGTTCCCACACGCATTGCTCTGAGATTTACTAAATTATTAAGCCTTCTTCCATGGCCGTATATCTCCCCTGATGAGATCATAAGGATGGGTATTAGTGATCAGATCAGTCTTGGTGCAAAGACTTTTGAGGATTTAGGAATCGCACCAAAAAATTTAGACTCGACAGCTTTAACTGTTGTGAGAAGGTACCGGCAAAGTAGCTGGTTTGATGCTCCGCCACCAGATCCACGAGTTGGCAAATTCAAGACTCATCACATTGTTTATTAATATTATATGTGCTTACTGGAATTCTATATAGAAAGTACATGGAAACAATCGTTATGAATTTTGGGCTTACAATAGACATTCTATGCAAAATACATTTTCAAAGAATTGATGTTCCGATCATACACTTCTAACCGCTTTCTGAATACAAAAAGAGTCCTATTCCGTGAAAGGGTTTATTATTTTTTATCAAATAATTTACAATAGTATCTACTAATTTTCGGCACGAGTTCCTGGATTCTGTCCACAATGCAGATGTACAATGTCACTGTTTGGTTGTCGAATAAATACAGAATCACTGATGAGATTCTGACATATTGCGCAAGAAAGGTTTGTGGTAATCACAACGGGACCAATTTCCTCGCGCGCTTTAAACAGTTCATGCTTTACCTGTAAAAATAAGAGTAATAGGTAAATATAGGTTCTGACTAACGATACTGCCATAGCGATTCTCACCAGTGTATTTTCTCCACGACATATTCCTTTTAATATCTGTTCTGATCGATATTCGTGGTGGCTCTGACGAAGAGAACGCACAAGGAATTCTTGTAGCATTTCTATCGACCAAATATCTGGTAATAATGCAAGCACCTATAAAAATTGCGTGATTCAGGAACAATGATGCGAGTATGAAACAACCAGTGTTCATCACAGGCAAATCAATAAATGATAACGTACCTCAACCACATCCAGGTATACAGCTTGTGTATTCAGAAGTTGTATTGTCCTTTCAATCATACCGTCCCTAAGGCGAAGTATTGTGTCAGTCGGTGAAAAGTCTGCAAATATAAAATTTTTTTCAACCCGTGAATTTCCTACCTATCTTTCATTTTTAGATATACCTCCAGTAGCAACAAGAATAGTTTTTTCCTTGTGTCAGTAAGACTTTTGTCTTCGAGATATTTCTTATCTTTTTTACTGACGCTGCTAACGGTTCTACCAGCATAAAGACAATATAACTCTGCAGCTTTATAGTCCTCTAGTTCATCAATCAATATATATAGCGCTTTTTCGTGTTCGTTTAACTGTAGAAATTGAGTAAATGTTAAACAATATGATCCGATAAGCTCTGGTAAACCGTCATGCACATACCTTGCCATAAACAAGAGCCATTTCAATTCTTAGGGAATCAACCTCCAATAATTTATCCAACACTAGTTGAGGGTCATAGTGTGTGGACGTTTGAAGAAGTACCAATAATTTGGAACGTGCTTGACTCATTTTGTCTTCAGGTGGTTGCGATGCCAAATATTTAACAAATGTTATTCCTGAGACTTTCTTTGCTTGAGCGAATCCAGTTGCTGTAATGATTTTTAGCCTTGTATGAGTATGCGATTGGGCAGAGGCCGACTGCTAAAACTTCATCTAATCTTTCACCTGCTGCAGTAATCTGTTCTTTCCCGTCTCCTTTTTGTATTAATTTAAGTATTTCGGATATGTGCAACTTCACTAGCTCTGTATGATGAGCTTTATCCTAGGAATGACGTCGCCAATTAGTACTCGATATTAAATATACTTTGCGTAAGAGAATATAGAGAAATATCTACCTCACTTCTACGTTGTATCACCAAATACTCTAAATATAGTTTTAAACCAATTTGACCAACAGCCTGTAATCCATTTAACACTTTTGCTGGTTCAACCAACAGAGGTTTCCTTGGATCTCGTATAAATATCTGCAAGGAAAACGATCCCAAGAATTTTTGTCGTGGGTTTATATATGGTTCCAATAGTTAAAAATACAATCGTTGTTTTTCCTTTTGCCAGTGAATCTGTAGTAATCGATACTACCTTTGCACCTATAATTTCATCCTTAAGCATCACCCAACTGGCATATTCCCACACCAAGTCTGCATCGTCCAATTGTGACAGTAAATCTCCCATCCTTTTCAACCCATTCTGAAAATCATTATCTGGCAGCTCATCAGTCAAAATTCTACGGACAAAACGTTCAAATTATCATCGGTACATCCAGAAAACAATTACAAAAAAAAAGCCTTTTGAATAAGAACCTTTGCCATGTATCCATAGTTTTCCGCCATTTTTCGTGACTTTTGTATAGCAACGACAGTGCATAGAATTTCTAACGTGTAATGAGATCTCATTTAATACAATTTGTTTTGAACATCAAGATTTTGCGCGTAAATATGCGTACCTTTGTATCTAGTAAAACCTGCTCGCACCATTCCAACAGACAAAAGTTTTCATTCTCAAGTAATGCATTTAAAGGCTCTCTTGAATTCGATTCAGCGTACAGCTTCACAAGTGCATTATCGACAGCCTACAATCATTAGCAGTTAAGTTAGCAAAATTTCCAGACTCCTCTAACCTGTAAAGTTATTATGTACGCGTTGAAAACCTTTAATATCTTCTTATCAGCATCATTTAAAAGACGATGACCCCAAGTACGATTTGCTCGATCTTTGGCTAAAAACTTTTGTAATGTAGCTTTTGCGTTAAATACAAGAGTCCTACGGAGCTCTTGAGTCTCGGGAGCTGTTGAGGCACTTGGCTTGATATGCGGATCGTAGTTCTTAGAAAGACTACGAGAAACTAAAACAGAATAGCAATGAGGCCGGTGTTGATATTAATGACTACAACTATTCTATAAATGCTGCAACAAAAAAAAAAGCCAAGCGAAGCGTCAGCTTACCAATATCCTCGATCGTTCCCAATCGCTCAACAAGATCTTTTACACCTCTATACACATAAATGGATTCATCATCAACGAACTTTTGAAAATCCTTGAACAGGTGAATGATCAGTCGCGGATCTATACGACCTTTTTCGAACGTTTGCAATGCGTCATCGAGTAATGTTGCTCCAAGAAAGATGAGACCGGCGCGTTGATATACGTAGGATAATTCGTGTTGCTACATATTATCAAATGCAATAAGATAGTTTACGTGAACAGTAGTATTCGTACAAGAAAAAAAGTAAATGATTCCATTACCAGCTAGAAATACCGACACACGAAATCCTTATAGATGCTTACCATTCTTTCGTCATGCATGTCGGGCGCGGCGTTCTGTCTTGACTGTTCCGCCCAGTTTAAAGCTTCCTCTACGCGATGAGCATCTAATAATTGATCAGCCTTTGATAAAATAATTATTCGAGATGAATACTTATATTATTGGATACGTCAAATATGCCATGTAATTAAATCGAATCTCACTTGAACTATTAATGGCGTATTTGCCAACGCCATGATTGAATCTTTTCCACCAAGAATAACCTGTGCAGGTACGACGCTAATTTTCTTTATGATCTTATTGTTTTCCTGATCCATGGCCTCATCTGCCTGCCCCTTTTTAGTTTCCTCGGCCTCTGTTGATTCTTCATCGTCTTTATGGAGTCTAAGTGGCACCCAACTTAACTTCTGTAGCAATTCAGCTACTAAAAGTCGTACGCCGGATCCATGCGAAATAGTTCGAGGTTCCACACTCGGATTTATTTGAATGATCTGTACTAGTTTCTGATTTACCGAGTTGTGAATTTCGATAGAGTTGTTTCGGAGCAGAGTGACGACATAAGGAAATTCAACTCCTACGGACAAAGTAGAATGGATGCTAGTTAGAAATATTAATGAGCTTACTGGTATTGCGTTTTGAATTTGTACATACCTATTGCTCGTGGAAAGCTCGTCCATGTTAAAACGCCACGCGTAGGTTCTCCGGAAAATGTTACAAATTGACCAAAAGCCTGTGAACAATGTTAAGAAGTAACAGCGTTGCTCATAGTATTTGGCTTTAACCATTGTGATTTCCATAGATAAAGGATATGATTGTCGTTTGTAGGCAGAACAACCAAGAATTCCCTGTCTGCCACTACAGTGATAAGCGGTCTAACTGGTGTTACAGGGTTGTTTATTCGTTCTTGACTTCGATCGTTATATACAGCCACAGGAACCATTTTTTTATCCTGAAGATCTATTATTTTGTATTCTCGACCATCGGCTACACATACATAGCGACCAAACTGATATGCTACGTATATTGGATTATTGCCTCCATGTATGTACTGATTAAATGGATTCAAGGTTATCATAACGAAAATTCAAAATTTAGTTGATGCCAATATTACGACATACTATAAATTCTTACCAAACTTTCCGTTGCTCTATCTGGTGCTATCGTAAGTATATGTATAGCTCGCTTTTTCATCACACACAGCTGTACTAAACCATTCGTATCGACTGCACCTTCCAGGGCAATATTATGACAAAAACAAGTTACAGCCTTGATCTGAGGAAATGCATTAGGGGGCAATGGTGCCATATCCGGTAGAGAATACATTGATAGAGTTGCATCTAATTGATAATGTTATCAGTTGCCATTTTTAATAGAATATTCAGCATCTTGACAGTAATGCTTGGTACTTGCCACATAATATCACTGCCTTCCCAATCTGAGGTAATAATAGAATGCGCTCTATAAACTTCTGTTTAAATCCTAGATTCCTTTTAGAAATCAGGCGCGTTCTCGGTGAATTCTTCTTCATTGAAGGTAGAAATATAGTATTACCATATTGTAAAAATCGTTCAATGAAGACAAAGCATAACCTAATACGGTACGGTATTGAGATTTTTGATTTAATACATACATTGCCTTGCGTCGTTGAATCTTCAAGAACATAATGAAGAAGAATCCCATCTGATGTACCTATATAAATGTTGTTGTCTATAAAGAGGGAGGGTTTAACATTAGATATGTCAAATCAGGTATTCGTTGCACTCTTCATTATCTAAAGGTAGATCACGACAATTGAACCTAATTTTTGTTAACTAAATTCCTAAGAATATGAGTACAGCATTCAGCTACGTCCAATTTGCGGAACTTGCGGCCACATTCCATGGATTATATGAATTTCACTCCCGTTTTCCTGTCCAGCAATCTGCAACACCAACTAATCCTCCACCTATACGTACTCCAAGCTTCCACACAATCAATAGTAACTCTTGGATTTTCTCGATTTCCCCGGCCAATTCCCCCGGCCAGACGCACTCCAGCAGTTCCTGTGCCACTTCCCCCACCGTTATTGGACCGGCGCAAGAATGTAGTCATGCCTTGCTGCTGCTGTGCCGGAGACTGGGGCGAATTTGCCGGCTGAGAGTCCTCGAGGGCAACAATGGGGATAAGGGATTGTAGGGTGAAAGGCGGGATTGACATGGTTGAGTAGCGACAAGCGCATTAATAGAGTAATGCTATTAAGATTCTATTAAAGGTGAGTAATGTGCAGTACTCGCTTTGTCTGAAAAAGCACTAGTGAATAAATGTCTTAGTTTAAAAAACATTGGATTTCAGGAACATCTTCTTCACGTGCTCATAGCCATAATTAGACTAACCATATAAAGATCGAATGGTGTCATCGTCAAACTTAAATGCTCGTTCCAATCTACGATAATTCCAATTCTCCGAAAACCATCCTGCGAGTGGATCTTCATGGCAATGAGTAAGCGACATATCTGGGCATTAGCAATCATAGTTTTGTCGATCCTTGGTAACAGCATACAAGTGCACGGGTTTAACTGCTCTGAAGTGATTGTTGGTGATTTTAAGTTTGACCTCCACCAAATTGACAAGTAAAGTGGAAAATCTGTGATTTACGTTATTTGCTTGAGAAGTTTAAAAGTCTTGTTATTGTTCTAGACTATTCTGCCTGGCTCTGTGCAGAAGTGTTTTTGAACGTCTCATGATAAACACGTGCATGTTTGCTAAAAAGGTCTATATTTTTGTTCCAGTGAATATAGTGTAAACTCTACTCATCCAGCTGATCCGTCAGAAAAAATCAAAGAATTCCATATCAATCCATGTAGTCCACTAAAATACAACGATACCGCTGATGCAAAGGCTCAATGCCCGAATGGTACTTATGTGTGTGAATATGTGAAGTATAAGTTATATACAAACGAAACGGTGCTGGTCAGAGTGAAGCCAATTGCCGGAGACTATCCAGAGGAGAAGAGATCTGTAGATCCACTAGTGACATTGGGCCCAATGGCGAGTAACGAGGATAGGCCTTGTAAGTTGGAGGAATTTCCATGTGTTTGCATTACAGTTCGAAAGAAATCTTACTCTACACGAATTTTGTATCGCAGCTTCCTTTGACTTGACCTTGCATGGTGGAAAAGTACACGACGATGATTACAAAGCGAATATAACGTTCTACTGCGACGTGAGTATTTTCCATTTAATTGCGACTCGGTATTGTTTTGGTGTTTATAATTCATTTGTGATCTGATTTCCAGGAAAAAGATGAAGACCCAAAAGTAAACGGCTTCGAGCATCATACGCTCCAAGTCGAGTGGCATTCATCTCATGCATGTGGCATTAGAATATCTCAACCCGATAGTGAAGGGAGAAGTTGGTTTAGCAAGTTTCTGATTTTGTATGTAACTGGATTATATTTACAGTAATTGATTGTTATATGAACATGTACATAAAGCACACATTCTCCTGTTAACAAAATCAAATCTCATTCCTTAGCATCTTCGCCGTTGGATCGGCTTATCTGTTTGTCGGAATAGCGTACAATCGGCATGTATACAATGCGCAAGGGTGGGATCTGATTCCGCATAGGTAAAGCGTTTCCGTAAATTTAATGGACGTGATAATCTCCAATACGCTCTATTCTAAAACATGGCATCCATCACAGGGATTTCTGGCGGGAGGTTCCATACATTGCTAAGGTAAGAGACTTTCTGCCATTAAATGCCTGACATTTGTATTATAATATATTAATCGGACGTTTCTTGCTTTCTGCCACAGGAGTTTATGGGCTATGTATTAAATTCTCTGCGAAAAGGTGGCCGACCCGGTTATCACCATGTGTAATCTAGCTTGTTCTGTGATGGGTAATGTTTACATTGTTGAAAGGGCATACGGATAGAGTAAATACAATAGTATCGGTAGTGATGTCTGGTAGTGGATCTACTTTATTTAATCAGGGAAGCGACTGGCACTGTGAGCTCGATAACACATATAAATAATGCGTATATGAGAAACCGAAACGGGCTATAAAATCGTGGCCTTGAACCAGAGGCGATTTGTCTATGAGCATTAATGCAACTGAATGTGTAAAAAAATTATTTGATCTATAATATGCGATATTCAGATTACAAACTCTTGTTCATTCGACCTATGAGCTTTAATAAATATGTCCTTTTTTTTTATCACAATCGCCTTAACTCATTTCAGTCATTCCCTATGAAATGTCTTATTGTTTTCAATGCGTTTATGTATGCATCGTCGCAAATGAGATAAATGTCCAGCATATATAAAATGTCCATAATCATATAGTAACAACTTACATATAAGTAAGCCTCTTTTACCTTCTCAAAAAAAATATGGAGAATAAAGAGAAGGAGATAGAATGCTACAAGTTATTCAGACTAAAAGATATGCTATATATATATATATATATTGGTACATTCCTGTACATTAGTATATCTTGCCATATTGCTACACTTGACCTCTTAGTTCATTTCACAAAGACCAAAATTGGTCAACTCATTGAGTTCCCTCTTCATCTCAATTTCCTATGCCGTTTGATCACGTTTCTCCTTCAACAACCGGTTAACTATCCCTTTCAACTGTGGTTCACTGGAATGCAGTCCAGTCGTATCTCCTCCGCTCTTCTTGGCAAAATTTACCTCACCCAATACTTTCAACCACGCAGTCCCACCCTCTGACCTCATATCGTTAATTTTCTTTCTAAACTCTTCTCCTCTGGCAATCGGAGAAGCAAGCGCAGATTTTGCATCATCATCTGAAGCTGATGCCGATATGCCAGTTGCCGCATAAGGGGAATCGACAGCAGTTTTAAGTGATTTCATCGACTTGGGTTTACGTAATTTGCGCGGTTCGGATGTTACTCGTTCTATTTCGGCTATACGGAGGACAGTACGACGAGGTTTGCCATCAGTTGGGCTAGTAGGAGATGCGGGTGATGAGGAAATGGGTGATGAAGATGGTGGTGTTTCGTTGATTGCGGATTTCTTCTTCTTGCTCTTTGATTTTGTACGTCGAGCGGAAGCCCCTTCGTCAGTGTTTGTATCGGTGCCGGTGCCGCTTGCATCATCTTCAGCATCGAGGTCGACTATTCGTTTATTTCGCTTCTTTCTCAGTGATCCTTTACCAGTGATGTTTAGCGGAATACTCTTAATAATATCAATCTTGCCGTCTTTCTCTTTCTCCTTTTCTTTTTCTTTCTCTTTCTTGTCTCCTTTCTCTTTACTGCCCTTCTTATGTCTTACGAGATTATCCGCGCTCAAGTTCCTGCTCAGGACAGCGGCAGGAACTTTGGGGCTAGATGTTCGAGGCTGAACAGAGATCTTCTGGCGCTCATTAAATGTTGGGGCTGATCCATCTAAAATTATGTCTATGTCGTGCTCACGATACGCCGAGAATATGTTGACTCGATAATTTTGCTAAATAATGAAAGGATTTAAGAAAAAGCAAGCAGTAAGTAGAGAATGTCAGGTTGGATCAAAAACTCTCGTTGCAGTAACGCGTGATGACTGGTGTCCGCCATCTTTTGCTTTCTACATACCAGCTTTGTAAATGGATTTCCTTCAACGTTAATCTCCTTAATTCCAGACAAGTCTGTCATTCTCTTGATTTCCTCCCAATCTGTTAAATAGTTATCTCTCAAATCCACAAATTCCAGCTCGTACAGTCTTTCTAATCCACATAAATTATTTACGCGGTTTTCTCTTAGATCTAATCTGCTTACGTTTCCTAGTATCTGATAAATCCCTGTGAGATTTTCGATCATATTATAACTGACGTTTAAACATTTCAAATGTATTAGCTGAGCCAATGTTGATGGAATAGCAATGAGTAGATTACGAGATAAATCAAGATGAGTACAATTAGAGATGTACATAATGGGCTCGGCTGAGAAGAATGTCAAAGAATTGTCCGATAAATTTATAGATTCCAACCGAGACCAAGCATTATCTGGTAAGACTGGTAATGAGTCGTCTGCTACTTCACCCGCGTCTTGTTCTTGTGTTGCTGGTGGAGAATCGACGTCAATGGCATTGTTGAGATGAATGTTTGCTTTCAGTTGTTTCCTCTTGGCCTCTATAGCCTTGCGTCGCTTAGCTGAATTAACAACTGCATCAGCGAATAAATCGACGATATCGTCGATTGATCCTCTTTGTACAGTTAAACTCTCCAGACGTTCTTGTATTATATCCCATCCATCGAAATTTTTGACAGGCATATCGTAGATCTCCAAATGGCAGAGGCTTTTGAATGGACTAAATGAGAGCATACTTCCCTTTGGCCAATTTTCTGATCCGTCAATACGTCGTTGATTGAACGGTCCAACTTTTATTCCGACTATTTTGGAAAATGCCTTGAATATGTATTTGATTTCTGCCTCTATTGGACCCTGCTCTGCCTGTTGTGCTGCCGTCGACCATCCATTCCATCCAGACAAAAGAGATAACGACGACATGGCAGACGAAACCGACCCGATTGAATTCACTGATCCGATTGATGCAGCATCGGTGTTGTCATCGGCTGACATTTCCAGTCCTCCTCCCTGTCGAATTATCAACTCAGAGTCTGGTTCAAACGCCCCTACATCTAATCCTAACTCGCTAAACCTGGTTAATAAATAATACATATGATGAGGATCCAGTGCGACTAGGGGCGTCTTTGGGATGGGAGACGAACTAGGTGTTGGACTTGAAGTTCCAGTAAGTGCAGCACTGATTGACCACAAGTGTTGTATTGAGAAAACACCACTGCCACTGTCGCTGCGTTTGTGACCTGACAATTGGGACGAGACTTGATGGGAGGTGAGACGACGGTCATTTGCACGTATGTAATGAGCTATTGTACGTATATATTGTTCGCCAGTGACATAGGATTTCTTCGGTGATGGTGATAAGAATGCCGACATGGTTTTCGGAAGACGGGTACAATACTGACTGGATAAGTGATAAATATATAATGTTTTGATAATGTGGGGGGAGCGGAGCTATAGTACTTGAAACAAAAAACTAGACAATGTGAAAAAACGTGATGTCGATCGATGATTTTCATTTCTATTTTCGTGGGTGTCAATAACGATATAGAGCTTGTGACTCGGTAGCTTTTTGCTTTATTGAGTAATAGTATTGACATTCTTTAGTCTTGAGAGAAATGCTGAAGGAGAATGTAAATTCGGGCCACATCTCGGCTTCTGTCAATGGTATTTTGTCGTCGAGGTTTTGATAAGCATGTGACGGATGAAAATTTCTGTTGACAACAGGAATGTCCTGCCATTTATGGGTATTCCTAATGAACCGACCAGAAACAAGAACCTAAACAGCCTTCTCGACATTGATTTTGGAACCACACGGCATTTGAATCCAGGCACTTGGAGAATACCATGTGACGTCAGACATTTATTATGAGTGCACTCTTTATTATCGATCCCTGACTGAGCTGAGTTTATGGATATTAAAGTGGTTTCACTATAGCCAACGATAATGGCAAAAGGACCGCTAATTAATGATTGAATTAAGGTTTGAATACCGAACTAAAATCGAAAGACTCATAACAAGTTATATCATTATATAAATTATATTCGCTAAATATGTCTGGTTCTGATATCGCTATTATTCTCGACAAAAAAAATAGAACATGTTGAGTCATATATCATAAATTATTTCGGATATAATACTGACCCATTTAAACCTCTCTTTGACACTGAAAGATGTTGTCTGTTGTGAAACGGGTGAAAATCTTAACCAATGGGCCGTTACGGAGTAGAACTTAGTGTATACCATAGATATTGCTTATTCGCTTCATTCGGCTACTCGAATTCACATGGCAACTAGAATGTGTAAAGCCTTAGGAAATTGGTTGCCAAAGATCGTGGAAATTATCGAACCTAAAGACCTGATGCAACATACAGTCACCGGACAAAAGTATCGAATTCAGCTTGACGATCAATTAGTAAAACATATTAATATTAATATAAAAAATCTAAAATTTCGAACATCTGTATATTGGCGTTATTTACTAAGCAAACAATCAGAATTTTTGTATTGTTATGAAGCTAATTGCTGAAGTGACAACATATACGTTACACATACATTTCATATGGTACTGACAGTTTGGCAGATAATAGCTCCATTATAACAACTTAAAGCTGATTCGATACTTTTGTCCGGTGGCTGTACATGAAATCTCTTTGATGGGCCAGATGGAACATTTTACGGATATCCATTTTGTTGGACAGAATATAATATTCCGGGAGGTTTGATTTTATGAACGACGGAATACACACTGATGCTTGGTGTGCAAACGTATCCAATAACCGTCCTCCGGTGTTAGCCCTTCCGGGACATTCTGCCCCGCTTGGGATTACGTTCTATGACGGAGATAATTGCAATGCAACACAAAGTTTTGATTGTTCCATGAAGGGAGACGCATTCGTTGCATTTCATGGATCATGGGATAGAAACGTACCTACTTCATTCGCGTTCCTTTCACGCAAAATACGAGCTATCCGATGCCGACTGGATATACTCAAGATGTGTTTGGACAAACTTAAACCAGTAAACGCCGTGTTCAGGAAAGGAGTAATGTTATATCGTCTGATGCAACCGGAGAGGTTATTCGAGTTAGAAAGGGTTCAGGAGATACAAATGGAGGTCTTTCGCAGACCAGAATCGTCTTGCGCGGATGATTAACTTGATGCTAGGCATTTGGATTTCTGTGGGGATGGCTGTTTTATTATCGTAATAATTTTAATTATCTAATAGAAAATTTAGGATGGATTTTACGATGTTATAATCGGAATTAACGTAAAATAATAGAATTAATATCAATTTTGTTTAACCCTCTAATATATTTCGGAACGTATCAAAAAAATTCGAATTGCATGGAATTGCAAGTGTCTACCCATGAACTTATTTTTGCTCGTGAGAAAGACTAATGATTTGTGACCGCGATCCATCATATAATCTGTGTTTGCATGTTTCGTGCGCGTAGGCTCCATATAAGATTGCATGTTTTATGCATGTTTTCGGTTCCACCATTCAAATACCGACAACCATAAACATATTAAAGACATTATCCCCCAAATTCTTCAACCATTGCAATATTTTGCTCATTTGAAAATCCAAATCGTAAACACATAATCTCTCCCCTCAATGCTAACACCACACCGCCGCCGCCAAAACCACCACCAAAAAAGGGTTCAAACAAAAAGGAGGTCCTCAGCTCCCCAACCTACGGACAGATCACAGGACACGAAATCGGTTCAGGGCTCAATTGGAAACGCAGGGGCCCTTTTGGAATGAATATACTCTGAAGGAGTCGAAGAAGTGGTGGTTACCCGAAAAGACTGCTTGTGTCGCTTTTGATCCGAACTTGTGGAGTGGATCTTTAAAAAAAATGGGACACGGCTCGTGGTTCTCGGTTCAGAAGTTTAAGAGCTCGCAGAAGACCTACTCGCAATCGTCACAGTGTTTGTGGCGCGCGACATAATGACTACGTTCGACCGCAAATCGCAGAAGGAGAAGAGGAACCTTCAGCAGGCAAGGTCCGACGTATTCGCATTTATCCCAACCAGCAGGAGCGGCTGAAACTGGAAACAGCACGATGGACATACAATCGGTGCCTTACCGCGGTCGAAAAAGAAAGCATTAAACGAGTAAAGAAGGATCTACGCGCACGATGTCTCAATGCACAAACTTTAATGATACTAAACTCGCATGGGTCCTTGAAACTCCCTATGACATTCGTGATGAAGCAATGAACGACTTGCTTAAAGGATATTCCTCCAATTTTGCAAAAAATTCAAGATGAAGCTCCGTTCCAAAAAGGATCTTTACGATACTTTCTAAACACTGGGGCAAGTCTTGTGGGGAATATTCATTTCTTTCTACAATCAAGTCAGCAGAACCTCTTCCATATAAGCTTGAATATGATAGCCGCCTTGTTATGAATCGACTTGGGGAATATTATCTTTGTACCCAGATCACTTGAAATACGGGCTGAAAACCAAGGCTCTATATCTCAAAAGGTTTTGATCTAATTTTTTTATTATATTATATTTTCTATTAAATTAAAACTTTAATTAATAGGAGGGATCAGGAGTGATTTCTCTGGATCCGAGTGTACGTACATTCATGACAGGTTATGATCCAAGTGAAGTAGCTGTTGAATGTGGTAAAAATGACATTGGCCGAATTTATCGATTAAGCCATGCATGTGACAAGCTTCAAAGCAAACGCGATTGTATTCATGGGGAAAAAAATAAGCGAAAACGTTACAGGTAAATTTTATTACCGGTAATTAAATTATTTATTTATTTAATATTTATTTATAATTTAACATATATACTAAGACTACTTTCAATTGTAGATTACGTCGCGTTATGTTACGCATTCACTAAATGGCTTTGTGAAAACTATCGCATAATATTACTACCCGAATTCCACACTCAATGAATGGTCCGACGTGGACAACGACGCATTAATTCCAAGACTGTCACATTATCCATAAGGCACGTGAGCATTTCTGGTGTCACAGTAATAATTTGTACAGAGAATACACCAGTAAAACTTGTGGATCCTGCGGTTATATTCATAAAAAGCTTGGTGGATCTAAGGTGTTTAGCTGTCCCCAATGTAAAACAAAGCTTGATAGAGATATAAATAGTGCTCGTAATATTCTCCTTCGATTCCCTGACAGGACTTGTTATTCCTAATTTATTAGTAATGATAGGTTTTAATGTAGGCGATATATAGAATAATACCACAAAGTCAAATAATTTAACCAGTAATTCATTTTTCAAGCTTGCTGCAACTAATTAACTGTTTGTTTTATTTAACCCGATATTTTACAAAATTATCTAAGACCTTTTACCTAAGACTTTCCTAAATCTAAGCGCTGTCAACGTGTGATAATGGTTGTTATTTGCTTGACAAAACGTCATCCAGGAGAAATTTCATCGCGCGTAATGATGGCAATTATAAGCGAACTTGTCGACGGTGTAAAAAACTATAACCAATAAGTGAATGAATTTTTTCGCGATTGACTATGATTTCTAGATCTGCTTCTAGGACAAGTCGAGCTAATACTAACAACTGCGGGAGAGCAATCAATTTCCGACCCTATAAGAATTTAGCCAGGTTCGAGCGGAGCTGTAATTTTAGTTCAATTAAAATGACAGTTAGTGACCTTTAATTATACTCACAACCTCAGTGTCGATGCGTAGATACTAATCCTCTATAACCAATCGTCCCTGAGTAACCCTCTATTCTCTACCGGTGGGATTAAATCGACAGTCTACATTTGACTATAACGAGTTTTTTTTATGTTCCGAATTTTTGTCTAATAAAATTTCACTGGATATAACGAAGTTAATTAGGAAGACCTGGTTACTGGCTATAACGAAGTTTTAAACCTGTCAACTAATAAGAATATAACGAAGCTTTTCGATAACGAACTTCGTTATAATTTACCATTATCAATATAGGTAATACAAGTTTGATCGGCACTTCAGAATTTAGATTGATTGGTTGACCGCACAGTCGTGTGACATTCAGTAAATCGACCATTGAGCTAGTGTTAGTATTAGGCTTTTCAAAACTAACGCTCCTAGCTCTTTTAGCCAAGAAACTGACAAGATTAAAAGTTCTTAAAAGCAAATTGAGCTTAGTTAACTAAGATTTTCCAAAGATGGCAGAGGCTATAGTAAGTTTTATGAACATGTCGCAATATTTATTAAAACAGTACGAAGCAATACAGTATGAGAAAAAAAATTCAAGTGTAATAGTCTATCGCATACCACCGACCTAATTAAACTTTACCAAGTTAATTGTAACTAACATGTTATTCCATACTTTTATTTATGTCAGAACAATGGCGAATCATCATTCTCGAAAACGAAAAACAAAGGCAAAGCCAAACAAATTGAAGACAATGAGATTGATGATATAAACCAATCAGACGAAAACCTGAGTGCAATCCAGTTGAGGGAGCAGGTGATCAAATGCTTAGAATCAATTACCAACAACAATGACAGAAGGCATCACTTTATCAGACTGCACACCTTGTTATTGACAACCAAGGATAGATTGGATAATAATCAATTGGAAAATATATTGAAGACGATAGGAACTGCAAACATTTCATATATGACACATATGGTAACAACTGGTATGGAGTTGGAGCTACATCTCAGGACATATGTGTTGGCATTAGAAGCATGGGGCAGGAGACCAGCAATAATGACAAAGGAATTCCGCGAGTCCTTGTATGGACATCTTGCTGTTTTGAATGATTTTCATCAACGGCATGCTGAAGCACTAAAGAATGGTTTGAACAAAAACATCAAATCTGAGTACAATCCATACAATGAACAAAGAACTGCATATGACTTGTATTCTGATTTAGAGAAAGGTATCAATTGCCAGAATTACAATGTTGACTTTTTACTGATACATCTTCGGGACACTCTTCATGCAATGCATGATGATGAGACAGTCTTATTTAAAATTATAAAAGCACTGCAAGCTGCATTCACTAGCTTAGTTGGAATTTTACCTGGTATGGCTAATATTATGGCAAATATTCAAACACCATTTGATAACAATACTTCTCTTGAGACATATAATAATATTCAGCAAGCACTAAGTCCCAAGTTTCCTATCAGCTATTGGTACAAAGATTGGAGATATCTATACAGTACATATCAAGCATTTATTGAATGGTCAGATATACCAATCAATAAGGATTTGGTTTTCAAAGGTGAATTGATGATTATTAAAGACTTGTGGAGATTTGGAGATCAAGAATGGGCCAAAGCTGCTGTAAAATCAGAATCAAAGATGGATTCCTTTAAGTCTAACTTGAAGCACACTTTGGTCCATATTGGTGGCTATGCCCCTGTATCATATCCATACTCTTTATTGTATGGCATATTAGAAATTACTCAAAAACTTATATTATCTACAAAGAATACTAGTACTTTGGCTCACTGTTATTATCTTGCAAAATTGACACTTGACATTGTGTTGACAGAAAACATTCAATTTAAAGCAATGGAAGTCTTGATGACACTTTATAACAGGGAACCAGATACTGTTACTAATACCTTTTCAGTTGTCAAAGTAGATCTATCCCAGCATATTGAACACCTTGCAGAATTGGATGGAGCTAATATTAATAGAAGACTTCAGGATGCAATAGAATACATTAATATAAATTATAAATTTACTAGGCTCACATTACTATCAGCAACATCAATGTCAAATCAAAAAGCAGTGCTAGAACAGAACCCTGAGGAATTGCTTGATTTCAATCCAAATGATTTGTTAATTTTGGATATGGTGGCAGATCATCTCACATGCCCCTTTACGCAGAAAGTTACAGATGACTTTAGAATATTACCATGTGGACACAAAATCAGTTATTCAGCGCTAGAGACATTTATGAAATTAAATTATCATTCATCAAAATGTTTTTATTGTAACCAGAAAATCAAAATACAAGATACCAAATCACTGAAAAGTTCACCTATCTATAAAGCATTGTATAAAAAGTTTGTTGAAACAGGGCATATTACACCAAAAGACAACACAAATAACTTTACAGCAGCTGTGAAAAACCAGGATAATAGTGATTCTGAGGAATATTCTATAATGAAAACAAAGTTTTTATATTTATTGAAAATGAAACCTAAGAAAACTCTTGTGCAAAGAATTAGAAGACCAAAAGGACAACACCCCACATACAGACAAGGCAAGAAAGCTCTGAATAATAAAAGATACAGAGATGCAATAACCTGGCTGGAAAGAGCACTTGAACATTATCCTAATAGTTCCACCATTCAATGTGATCTTGCTTATGCATATATGCAAAGGTCAGACTACCAAAAATGTTATGGTTATATAAATGAGACTATCAAAAATAATCCTAAAAACGCTAGAGCTTGGGCAATACTTGGAATTAATTATAGGCTTCAATCTGAATATAGACAATCTCTTAAAAATCTTAAACAGTCATTGGAGATTGATCCAAATAACACGTCTACATTGGAAAGCAGGGGGGAAGTCTATAGAATGCTTAAACAATATGACAATGCATTAGTTGATCTCAATAAATCGTTGGAGATTGACCCAAATCGTGCATTTGCATTGAGAGGAAGAGGGGAAGTCTATGGAATACTTAAACAATATGACAATGCATTAGTTGATCTCAATAAATCGTTGGAGATTGAACCAAATAATGTATTTGCATTGGAAAGCAGGGGGGAAGTCTATCGAATGCTTCATAAAAATAACAAGGATGGCAATACCGAAACAAGACCTTGGACGATTTCAATGACAATAATATAACAGGAAATTGATTAAATTAAAATCGAGTTATATCAATGAGTAGTATCTAGTAAATTATTAAAAAACAACTGTAAGCAAATTGATTTTTAACTTTAATAAAACTTATTTATATCTTTCCTGCTTTCTAATAATGCATAAATTATTAAATTTGGTGCGGTCTTGACAAATATATAACAAATTTGTGCGAATTGCACTAAGATACAGTATGTTTGGCATTACGAGTCACCGAACATTTCGATAATATGAGATCTTTATTGACAACTACAGAAAACTGCTAAAGCTGTTTTTAGACAGCAGTACATAGACAG